CAATACCAGGCAAAGTCTGGAAGACTCATTCTGGATTTGTTCTGATCACTCTTAAAACCTCTTCCTCAAAAATCTTTATTGTACCACTGGCTCTTTTCCCAAAATCTGGGTTACTCATAACTTTTCCAGTGGCTCACTTTAGTGTATACTAAACATTCTGCCTTTGGTGTGTGGTGCCAAGTGTGGGACACAGAACAGGATAATAAAGTTCAACAAGGTTCTGCCATAATGAAAGATAGGATAGGTGTAAAATACAGAGCAATCCAAATCTCTGGCAAGGTTTAGGACCACTGGATATGGCCGAAGCACCACTCTTCCACTGGAACAGCACTCCTACACTGTAGACTCCACATAGAGCTCCAAAGGCACAGTAAAAACCACTTAACAGTGTTTCTGCTGGTGGCAAGTTCCAAAATGGGGTGTTCTGGGTGGAATTAGGTTGTGGTTATGATCACATGCCTGCAAAAGCATGCACCTGATTGCACCATAAATGGTTGATTTAATGGGAGCAGTCTCCCTACAGCGACCCTTCCATCTCCTGAGGAATCACTCCAGCCCAGCCCACAAAGGTAGGAGCCCTACAGCTGGACCAAAAAAGGTCCAGCTTGGACACAGATTTGGATCATTGTGTGTTCAGCAGGAAATAGATGACACCATACCACTCCAGAAATGGTCCAAATTACAATCTCTTTCCCCATGTGATCACACCCTGGGTTGACTATCTATGTTTTCTTATAAAATACAAATGTCCTCAAAAGTGAACCGTAATGAGTTAGATGGGTCTTAGCCACAAATAACGGTTGCAGCAACAAATATTTGAAGCCTGTTCTAGTTGTGTAAAAAGGAGAATTTTATTGCTTTGGAAGAAACGGAATGTTCTAAAATATGTCACATTTATTTGTAAAAATACCATCTTGATCATTAAAAAAAAGTAAAATAAATAAATAAAAGCCAAGTGGTCCTGGTACACAATCCAGTGCTTTATAAGACCACAAAAAAAAATCACAAACACATGCTAGTGTTTGACCCATATAGGTCTTCCATGGGCTAAGAATCATTGCCTTGTGAATGACACAGAAAAAAAAAGATGAAAAGCTCCAAAAATCATAGTAGAATGGCCCTGCCAGGTTCCTTAGTTAAAGTGAGTTTCAAAACAGGGGCTGCAAATGCAAGCCACCATCCCCAAGTGGCTGGTGACTGAATAGTCTCCAAACAAAGGGCTGCCAGGTATTCTCTTTTTTGGCTGGAGATCAGGGTTACACAGAAATGGGACTAAGGCCCATCAAAAGAGTTGGGATAAAATTTAGACCACTCAATAGGGGAAGCCAGTTGCAGCTCAGTTAACAGTATTGGCTGGAGGGAGATGGTGTCCTCAGTTTGCAATCCTGTTTGGAAGATGTTAATTTCCATTCTTTCTTGTAGATCAGTGATCCCCAACCTTGGGCCTCCAGACTCCCAGAAGCCTTCACCACCACTTTTGCTAGCCAGGATTTCTGGGAGTTGAAGTCCAAGAACATCTGGAGGCCCAAGGTGTCCATTCTTTCTTGTAGATGGTGCCCTGCATATGGTATCCTTCATAGTCCAACAAAAACTAAAAACTTCCCAGCCAAAAAGGAAGCCTAGGTTAAGTACTGATGGAAGAGAGGAATGTTGAATATTTTAGATTTGTGGTCTTTTTATATTATATTCCTTCATTTATATTTTTCGAATTGGGTGGGATTTGGTTTTTCTTTGTTTTATTACTGGAAACTGCCCAAAGTAGTGGCAAGGTGTGGTATAAAGATAAAATTAATAAAAAGTACTGCCTCTGTGCCCTATATGGTCAGATCTCACTTTTATATACACAGACGTTCTTTCAGACTATGTTGCAGAGTCATGATTCAGAGAACTGCCCATTGAAGTCAACACTGTGCCCTAGTGCAAGTGCTGATAGAACAGAAGTATCAGATTTAATTTAATACAAATGTTGCAGTGCACAAAAGGGGAACAGAAAAGGTAATACCAGTAAAATATGTACAGTATAGATAATCTAACTCAAAGGCAGAGTGAAACAAAAGGAGTCAGTTCTATCCAAACAGTCAAAGGAACATAAAATAATTTAATTTTGTTAAGGTTTTCTAGGAAAAATATGCACTTGGGAGAAAGGAATTCCATTTGTTCCAAAGAAACACAGATTAAATTACTGGTGATTCAGCACAGAACTAAAAGAACATTGAGCTCCTTTCAGCAAGAAGAAAAAAAAGTTGTACTTGAAGAGTATCATCCTTTTTCTTATTAGGATTTTTAAAGGAAACAAACACTTGTCTTTATAGAATTTTATTTAACTGGGGAATGCTGCAAGAAGCAGGGGGAATCTCTGAGTTCTATTGATTAAAAATAAATAATGTCCTATTCTTTTACAAATTGGTAGTACAGCTTTCTTTTTCTCCTTCAGGAAAAAAAGTTAATGATATTATTTTCAAGCATAATTAGATCAGAAAGATTATAGTTATTCATGTTTTTGTTTACTGGAAGCATATCATAAATAACAAGCCAATATCTAGGATCCTTACATTTAGCAAAACCAAAACAGTTAAAACTACTCTGAAAAGCAGTGGTGTTATCTCTCTCTCAGGGTTGCAGCTCTAAATCCATGCAGTTATATATGTATTACTGGGGAAATTAATTAATTGCAAATAATTCAGTGGTTGAAATCAAGTAGTATTTACTGCTTTATTTAAAATAAATTAGAAAGGGCACTGATGGCAGCTAAAGTAGTTCTATTGAATCAGTAGGAATTTGCTGAGTCAACACCTATAGTATAAGTTTTATTGATTCAATGGACTTCCTCTGTTGGTGACTCGCTACTAGATTTCAGTACCTAATTACTTCCAGTCTCTGCATTAACTTTTCTTTTGAGAAAATAACACCACTTTAAAAAACTCCATTTGTTGAATCAGTAGTTTTCTATGTGGAGAGAACCATTGTGAAATGTGAATGAAATATAGGCAGATTTTATATGTATCAAGGAAATGTGAGAGCTGAAGTATAAAATTGTAAGTCATTTTATGAAATACTGCAAGATGTATGTCTGACTAAATGCAGCGGAAACTCCTATTTCCTATTATTATTGTATATCCTAAACTTGTTAACTAGAGAGGCCAGGGGTTTAATATGAAAACTACCATTAGTTATGAATTATGGGAGGTACTAATTCTGGAGTACAAGTGAGACATGGTTTTTGTTTGTCTCTGCTTGCTTTTTGAATGCTTTTGTTAGTTAATCTGGCAGATAAACAGATTTGTGAACAGTGAAGGATTAGGGAAATGAAAAAAACTTGTTTTTAGAAAGCTGATTGCTTTCCCAGAGAGAAACACAACACAAGTTAGCAAAAATAGTGCAGTAAACACATTCGACTTCTTTAAAAGAAGATTTAACATTGTACAAATAAACAGTTCTAAAACTTCTTCAGAAGTCTTGACCTCAGAAATCCTTTTTTAAACATGAGGAACAAAGGAAACTGCCTTAGTTCAGGACAGTTTCTTCATGTAGCCGAATAGCTCACTATTCCTCTTATTGGTAATTACTTTCTAGGATTTTAGGGAGAAGCTTTTCTTCCCAATTGCTATCTAATTCTGCAAACTGGAGAGGCCAGGGTTTGGATCTGGAATTTTTGCATGCAAAGCATATGTTCTGTTATTGATCGGTGGTCTCTTACAGTAAGTAAAAGTTACACCCATTCATTCATGCATGTGAAAACATTAATGAAGTAAAGACTAACAAGCTGGAGGTCAAACTTCTGAAGAAGTATATCAAACAGACTAATAACTTTCATTGTAGAAGTGCGTAGTTGAACAGCAACTGCCCTTCTGTGAGTGTTAGCTCATAGACCATCAGTTCTTAGATCTCCAGATTCATGCAGATACCTTCCTTGCCAACAAAGTCACTCTAGTTACTTAACCCTCATTAAGTCACATAAGGGTTAAATTAAATTGACCAGTCTAAAGCCTTGGAGGAAAACACACTCTTCTGGAGGGCAAGATGTTCTGGAATTGTGGTGCATGCCCAAGGCTACACAGGGTGGCTCTTCTCCTGGGAAATACAGTAGGGAACCAAACCCTCAATCTCCATCTCACTGAACTATGCAACCAAAATTTATTACTGATTTTTATTGTCTTTCAGTATTTGAACACTTCCACTCAGTTCATCTTTGACACATGATGACTAAGTTCCCTCAGCCAGTCCCAAAATGGATACTTATAGTTCCTCCTGATTTAGCAAAACATTATTTCCTGCTTCTATCTTATCTTTCTCTATTTCTTCTAATAGAAATTAATTGTAGCAGTACAAGTTGTTGGTCCAGCTCTTAACAGTGGTTATCCAAATTAGTATTTTCTTTCTTAACCATTTTTGTTAAACTAAAAGGTAAGTTCTTTACTGTCAAGATTTGCTTCTCTTTGGACTGATTTTTGCTTGTGTCCTTGGCTAAAATTAAAATGCATATGCTTTATTGGTGCTTTGCTTGTCTTTTTGAGTCATTTCATCTAGGATAGTATACAATCTGTCATGGGTTCACTACTTCTCCTACCAAAGTCCTTATATTTCTGTGTTGGTGGAGTATACGTGTACGGATGTGTTTGAATGCAGAAGTGATGAAACACACCAAGTAGCAATGGTCAAAATCTCATGTCTACACTTGCCATGCACATTAATTACACAAAGTTGAAATTTCTGGTCTGTGCTATGTTCTTGAATATTTGTAATTCAGTTGAAATATTCTTTCCCTGTGTGGTCTAGTTCCACTTGCCATGCCCATATACATTGAGAAATTCACAGCTGAAATTATTTTAATGTTTGTTACAATCAAAAATATGGACGTACCCCCCAAAAAACCTGTACACTGATTTATTACACTAATTTCTTGAGGTAGATGCTTTCCCATCCATTAATGTATTTTATTAAAGTGCTGTTCGTTGTGCACTATAAAATCACTGATTTGTGCTGTCTTCTTTTCTTAACAGCAAAATTTGGAAAGTAATCTCACAAACCTTATCAAGAGAAATACTGAACTGGAAACACTCTTGGCTAAATTAATTCAAACCTGCCAACATGTGGAGGTGAGTATTGATTGTGCTAGTTACTAGATATTTGCCACCTGGATTGTTTATCTAAATCACTTCTCCAGCTGCAGTGTTCTCTTCTCATAGCTGGACTTTAAAAAATATCCCAAATGGAAGTTTTACATAGATATTAGTATCTTTTTATGAGCTGAATTAGTATCTTTTTATGAGCTGAATTGGACTCAATAGGAAATTTAGTATCCTATTTACATAGCTATCCAGGAAACATTATAAATCTCATGTAACATTTCAAAATGAAAAAAAATGCCCCCACAGTTATGTTGAAATGTCTGTTTATGGGCGATTTCACACATTCTACAGGACAGAACCTGTTATAAATTTTGCCCTATGTTGTGCAAGTTTGCTCCCAAATGTATCTATCCCACATTCATACTTGGCTTTGGTAGCATATCATCCTCAGTTGTGCTAATGAAAATCTGATTACATTTTCTAATGAAGAAGGTGATATAAGCATGTTTGCATTCAGGTCAGACTTTTGAATGGCTACTCTAGAACAGTGGGTCCCAACCTTGGGTAACCCAGGTCTTCTTGGACTCCCAGAAACCCCGTACAGCACAGCTTGTGGTGAAGGCTTCCGAGAATTGCAGACCAAGAGCACCTGGGTTGCCCAAGGTGGGGAAGAATGATTCTTTTCATTATGCATGTAATATTCTCAGCTAAGTATAAGATGAGCATAAGAGAAGTCAAATGTAGTTCCACACTGACATTTATACCTTGCGGATAACTATTATTCGGCTAATATCACAACTTTGCTATAAGCAATCAGTAAGAAGTGCAAAGTCATGTGTCAGATAAATGTGCCTTCTCCTAAAGAGCATGATGTTTTTGACAAGGAACCAACAATCCAAGTAGCCCTTACTGCAAAGTGTGGAAGTCATGATTAATTTAATCTTTTGCATGTTTGTTGAGACACAGCAACAGGCGCAGAAAGAAATTTTACCTGTTTAATTTATATTTGAAACAGGCTGTCTTCTCAAGGTGAGAAAACCTCCTGATGATTCACAGGTCTTTGAACTAGATATTTCCTTTGGCTTGAGAAAAATCCAAGCAGTATTTTTTTTCTTTTCTTCCTTGTGGTTTGTGCAGTTGGCACAGAACATCTCTAGTGTCTTTTCCCTTTGTAAACTTAAACACATGCACAAACATACACAGCAGACACAGAAGGACAGAATGATGGCTGAGACCAATTCAATCAACCTACCCAGTGCTTCTGTTTTTGATAATCCACACAACAAGGCAATGTGCTAAATTTTGTACATGTGCAGAATTTTGCAAAAATGAGCCTCACAAATAGGCAAATTATCTTCAAGATTGGCCAAAAAAAAACATTTTGTACAAAGGAGAAGATTTAATAAGCTGAGAAACAAACAGAATTTTTGTTCGTGCAGTCAGACCCTTTACTTTGCTCTTGGTGTGAGCTGGCAAATAAACCAGACGTCTCTCGCTTATTTCATTTCATTTTTAAACTAATTATAATCTTTTCAAATGGTAACTGAAATCATTTTGAAACTGTCATCCCTGGGACAGATCAGATAATTATATCATGCTAGTTTAACATCTTAGCTTTTCTCAAGCTGATAACTATTATTTCCAAGTTCAGACTAAGTGGGAAAGAACAGTTAATGGAAAACTTCCTAGTTTGTTTCAAGACTGATACAGAGAGTCAAGCTAAGGGGGGCACATGTGGAAGCAGAAAAGATTGTTCGTATCTCAGTATATTAAGATAAAACATGCTAATACAAAGTGCTGTTTTCATAGAATTAGACATCTTGCAGAATTGGTCAGGCCTATATTGCCAGAGCATATTGCTTCCTGTTAAACCAGTATTCCCTAGCCTTCTTTTCCAGATGTTTGGGACTGCAACTCCAATAATTTTTAACCATTAGACATGCTGGTCGAGTCTAATGGGAGCTGCATTCCATAAACATCTTGGGAGTGCTTATGACAAAATCAAATTAATCAAGGCCCACACACTAGTGTATGCTTGGGTGAACTTTAGAATTTTGTTATACGTGTTACTGATATCTGTGGGACTTTAAAGTGCTTGCCAGTCAGCTGGACTTCAGCCATTTTCTCTTTCTAATTTCTGGAGGAGATATTGTTTTTATAATTTTCCTCCTCGTTGGCTTAATTTTATATCTTTTATAATCAACACACAAAGAACCCTCCTTTTTAATTTTATCTCAAACCCAGCAATTATTTAATTTTACAGATACAGCTGACATACTGAAAGCAGATGTGTTATTTCCCTTTGATCTTAATTTTACAGATTGTTCTCAGTTGCCAAAGAATAACAGCTGCGTAGCTCATGTATCACTTAATCCTATTCTCCCATAAAATCAAAACGAGGAAGTTGAATTCACCTTGTTTAAGTGCTACTATGACGAGAGAAATCCAAACCCGTATTTATAAGTGATATTTAAATATTTCCTTTAAACAGGTCAGTTATGAATAAATGAAACAAAATTGTTCAGTTCACTTGAATATAGATTTTATTTATGGAGGATCTTTTATGCCATTTTGGTCAACATCTAGGTGTTAGTCCCAGTGTATACAGAGCTTACAGCTGTTATTTTTAACAAAAACACAGACAGAATTGCTTGGCTGAAATAGGCAATAGTCATGCTGGTTGATGAATTATAGGTGTTGCAGTCTTTTAAAAGTCCAAGCGTTATTTGTATTAATACCAAATCAGCAACCCTAACAAGCTCCTGTTAAGTACCTAAAGTAATCTGAACAGTATTTATTGTTATTTGTTCCCTCATATCCATGGTTTCAGGTATCAGTGGTTTGATCCTGGAACAGGCCACTCATGGATATGTCGGAGGGGGGTGGGGGGACTAATGTGAACTCAGCCTGGACCAATCTACTCCAAACTGAAGGATCTACAAAAGGCATTTCTTTTTTATTGGATGAGTACCAGACTATGATACTCATCCAGTATGGTTAAAGAACAAATTAACTGGGCAAGACAAATACTCAGAAGACAGACCCAGAAGAGAAAATGGTGGAACACAGCAGGCTGTCACCTTCAGCCCACAACTGAGACCACTCACCTGTTTCAGAATATTTTCAGTCTATCTTGACACTCTTTGAATGACCTTTCAAGGTTGGTAAAATTAGCAAAATGTTGTCTGCTTAATTGTATTGTAGCACTGTGGGGCAGCATATAAGTCAGAACAACAACAATGACCATTTTTGGGGGGGAGCACCACAAAACTGTTTCCCAGTTGTGTCAACGATGCCTTGTTGACTGGTAATGGAAATCATTCACAGCTTGAACATCCTCTTCCATTACTAACAAATCATTGCCCTTCGACTCTTATCCATATCCTCTGTACTCCCACAGTCATGGGTTCTTGCATAAATATCCTGGTCTTTAGGTCTGAGAAAACAGACTTGGTCCACGAAAGCTCACATTAAAATATAGCAGTTAGTCTTTAAGGTGCCTCTACATTTTTGTCTTTTTGTTTTGTCTAATACAGTGGTGCCTTGCTTAACGGGCGCCCTGTTTAACGACAAAATCGCATAGCAATGAAGATTTTGCAATCGCAAAAGCGATCGCATTGCAATGTTTTTAATGGGCAAAAATCGCTTTGCGATGATCGGTACCCTGTGTATTCGCGAAGGCTTTCACGGCCGGGATCTAATGGTTGTTGTGGGTTTTTCGGGCTTCTTGGCCGTGTTCTGAAAGTGGTTCTTCCTAACGTTTCGCCAGTCTCTGTGGCTGGCATCTTCAGAGGACAGCAAACTGTGCTCTGGGGTAGGCTTGAGAGTGGGTGGAGTATTTATGGCTGTGAGAAGGCTAATTTGTCAGGTAGGCTATTGTCCTAATCTGGAGATGGTTGATTAATGTGTTTTGTTGTGGATGTATTGTTTTGATAAGGAGGGTTTTTCTTCCTAATGTTTCACCAGTCTCTGTGGCCAGCAGAGGACTCCTGTCCTCTGAAGATGCTGGCCAGAGAGACTGGCGAAACATTAGAAAGAAAAACCTTAAGAACATGGCCAAACAACCCAGAAAACCTAGAACAACCATTGGATCCCGGCCGTGAAAGCGTTCAAGAAAACTTTCATATTTATACAGCAGGTGAATTAAAAACAGATTAAAAGTACTTTCAGAGTAGAGCAGCAGATGCCTTTATGCCTGGTCTTCAGCAGCCTCAGTTGCCAAAAGCCAGTTTAAATCAAAGGGTCTTTGACTGCCAATAGAAAGACAGCAGGGTGGGGACCAGCCTGGCCTCCCTACCAAGTTTCAAAGTATATAAAATCTTTAAAGTGCGTAACTACCACATTATTATTATTCTATAGAGATAGGTTAATTCATTCATTTTGTTCCTAATATCAGCATTCCTTTAATGAATCTGTCAGAAAAGTAAACAAGTAGCTGATTATGTTTTCACTGTGTCTGACTGCTGTTCCTGACATTTGATTTAATTATACTTATGAAAACTACACAGGGTAAGTGGCAGAAGTTTTCTTTAGCTAAGACAGATGGAATTGGCCAAGGCAGCAAACTCAGAGAATCTGTGCTCACCTTACATACCAGGAAGCCAATACATTGCAGCATGAAAGCCATACAGCTGCAGAGAGTTTTCTAAGTAAAAAATAAAATAAAATAAAATAAAACAATTGAAAACTAAATAAAAGTTATTTTTAAAAATATGCATGTCTTAAAGAACCCAAATATTGTTTATGAACAAGTAGAGCTTTGTTTGGGGCTAGTCACACATTTTTCTGACATGTAGACTAAAAGTGGCAGAGCAAGTAATTTAATCTTTGACTTACTTCCAGCTATTCTTAGATTGTTCCTCTTGTGAGCCCTAGTCAGTGCTGCTCACTCCTGGCCTACTAGAAGAGGGACATATAACTCCTCCCACCCTCCCCCCATGTTGTTGGTTTGCAGTTCTCATTGTCCTTCACTGTTAAATATGCCAGATGCAGCTGATGGAAGTTTTTGTTGAGCAATATCTGAAGTG